TACATGAAGCCTTAGTTTATATGGGGCTTAAATGGACATTTATCCGAGTAACTAGCTCCTATAGAAGGAATTTTGAAACTTTGACAATTTTTTACTCAGCTGTGGATTTTGCGCCGTGTTCTCCTCAAATTAATTTCTGAACAACCACTTGAGATATTAGAAGGAAACTTTCAGAAATCGATTAAGGGCACTTCAGTTTTCCTGCGGAATTAATTTGGTGCAATTCAAGCCTCTGGCTTTCGCGTAATAATTTTTTCACTTTGCGCAACTTTCATTCTTGCGCGGTTTTTCCTTTCATGCATGTTCTTCTAAGTCGTTTTCTGAGCAACCACTGGATACATTGGATCGCGAGTTTTTTACACCGACTCGTGCGTGATTATTTTTTCTTCAGATGTTTTTGAAGCGGCCTGTTTTGAGCAACCAAAAAACGTCGTACATGAAGCCTTAGTTTATATGGGGCTTAAATGGACATTTATCCGAGTAACTAGCTCCTATAGAAGGAATTTTGAAACTTTGACAATTTTTTGCTCAGCTGTGGATTTTGCGCCGTGTTTCTCCTCAAATTAATTTCTGAACAACCACTTCAGATATTAGAAGGAAATTTTCAGAAATCGATTAAGAGCACTTCAGTTTTCCTGCGGAATTAATTTGGTGCAATTCGAACCTCTGGCTTTCGCGTAATAATTTTTTCACTTTGCGCAACTTTCATTCTTGCGCGGTTTTTCCTTTTATGCATGTTCTTCTAAGTCGTTTTCTGAGCAACCACTGGATACATTGGAACGCGAGTTTTTTACACCGGCTTATGCGTGATTATTTTTTCCTCAGATGTTTTTGAAGCGGCCTTTTTTGAGCAACCAAAAAACGTCGTACATGAAGCCTTAGTTTATATGGGGCTTAAATGGACATTTATCCGAGTAACTAGCTCCTATAGAAGGAATTTTGAAACTTTGACAATTTTTTACTCAGCTGTGGATTTTGCGCCGTGTTCTCCTCAAATTAATTTCTGAACAACCACTTGAGATATTAGAAGGAAACTTTCAGAAATCGATTAAGGGCACTTCAGTTTTCCTGCGGAATTAATTTGATGCAATTCGAGCCTCTGGCTTTCGCGTAATATTTTTTTCACTTTGCGCAACTTTCATTCCTGAGCGGTTTTTCCTTTTATGCATGTTCTTCTAAGTCTCTTTCTGAGCAACAACTAAATGCAACGAAGTAAGGGATTGAAACATAGATACAGAAAGCTTCAGTTTATGTGCAGCGTGAATGCGAATAGACTGGAGAAAAAAACTCGTACATAAAGAATTTTTAAACTTTGGCAATGTTTTGACGGGTTTTGATTGTTATGCCATGCCTTTTAAAGCGCGTTTCTGAGCAACTGCTTCACCTATTAAAATGCAGATTTCCGAAATCGATACCGGAAATTTAATTTTACATATGGAACGAATTTTATAGTATTCGAACTTCGAAAGCTAGCATGTAGCATAGTATTGGAACTGATGCATCACAAAACGATAAAACTAACATCAGTTTACTTGTGAAAATTTTTTTTAAGAATTCCAACATCTGGTTAGTTCGTTATTAATTTTTTTGATGTCAATTTTTTTTCTTTTGTCCCGCCACTCGCTTCTGAGGTTTATTATTGAACAACGCCTAAACGCGATGAAATAACGAGTCTACGAATAGATATGAAAAGTTTGAGTTTAAATGTGACTAGAATTTGTTTTAAAATATTTTTTGTTAATCTTAAAAAAATTATATTTTTTGCCTACTTTTCTGAAACTTGAGATATTAGAAATCGATAAAGCAATCCTGAGTTTACAGGTCTTATCAATTTGGTACAAAAAAACGTATGACTCGTACGTAATGATTTTTTACTTTAGCAATTTTTGCGCGACTTGCGTTGTATGAGCCGTGCCGTTCTGAGCGTTTTTTGGCTCTTATGACCCATTTGAGGCTTCTAAAAAATTTGATAGAAATCGAGCCCTTTGTATGCACGTGACGACTTTTTTGCTTTTGAGATTTGATCGCGGTTCGTTTCTATTGCACTTTTTTCGCTTCTGAGGCTTGTTTCTGAGCAACCTCTAAACACATTGGAATGGCACCTAGATATAGAAATCTTCAGTTTATATTCGACTAAAATTTGCATTGGTTTAAGTAACTAGCTCCTACATAAGAAATTATTCAACTTTACGCGGTTTGTAAGTTTGATGCCATGCTTTCCTGAAGCTTGTTTCTGAGCAACCACTTGAAATATTGGAACGGCCCTCCCAGAAATCGATGAAGAAAACCTGTATGATGAGTTTAGTACCATTCAAAGCTACAACTTCTACGTAATGGTATTTTTACTTTCGATTTTCTGGGCGCGGTTTTTTGCACCACGTTATTCTGAGGCCCTTTTCTGAGCAACCATTAGACAAATCACAGTGATGGATCTAGCAGTAGATACAAAAAAGTTCAGTTTATACATTGTATGAGCTCGGTTTTACTCAAGTTAATGGCTTCCACGTAATGATTTTTTAATTGGAAATTTTTCTGAGCCTCCATTTAAAGAAGCAACATGCAGTTTTTCCTTTCTTCTTCCCAAACATTTCCTCAGACTCCTCTTCCTTTGGATAACAAATAATTTGTAGATAAGTTCTATATTGTTGAGGCGGATTCATTTTTTACAAACTTCTTTTTGGGTAT